AGATCCAGGGTTACGTTTTATAGGATGCATTGAATATTCTGAAATTCCTGATAGTGTCTAATTGTCCAAGCAGTGACAGAATGGCATCTCTGGCATAGCTGGATGATCACCAATAGACCAATCAATGTTCTGACGATAGAAGCCAGGAGTTTAAAGAACTTGTGATCGAAGTTTGGATTGTCATTACTAGGCAGAGGCATTTGGTTTCTCAGCACAATTGGGCTTGAGAAAGAGAACGAGGAAGCTTCAAGCTAATTGTTAGGTCCAAGCATCACATGAGTGAGTACACATAATAAACAGATGTCTCTTCGCACTTCAAGAGATCACTTGAGTCCACTTGATATATACTTGTTCAGTGTGTCACAAGGTCAGATGCTGACTCAAGGTAGAATAGTAGTTGTAAACTTTAGCTCAAAGCTGGGATATACCAGCAAGAGCTGTGGGTCTTAAATACAGTATGGGCTAGGCTAATAATACTACTACTAATTGTATCTTTCAGTGTCTATGGTGCCTGTTGTCCTTAAGCATCATTACTGTACATAAAAGATTGATTGTGTGTTGTTGAGCATTACTGTCATGCATTAGAGAGCAAATAATGAATAGGCCAGTTGTGATGACTAAGCATAAATAGAGGTAAAAAGCAAGAAAAAGAGAAAAAATCATAACACTGGCACTACCAGACATATAGTCAAAAATAGATTATATTTTTCTGACTATGTTGAAACTCCAGGACATAAAGTCATTAGTGTAGGCAAATCTAAAGGCTTGAAAAGGGGAACTGTCAAAATTAAAATGGTTGAAGGAGAAAAGATCACTCCAGTCACACTAAAGAAGTGTATCCACTGCTCTGATGCACTATTCAATCTTATATCGATAGGGCATATTACAGATGCTGGATTTGAACTCAGATTCAAAGAGTTCAGAATGGATATTATCTCACCACATAGTAAGATAATCAGCCATGGAGATAAAATATCAAAGCTGTATAGCCTTGACATCATTGTTCCAGAAATAACCCAGGCCTATGCTACAAAATCAGTTCAATTATGGCAAGAGTGGTATAAAATATTAGGCCACTTAAATATGGAATCAGTAAAGAGACTATTTAGGAAGAAAATGGTCAAGAGGATGGATATAGATGAGTCAGCCAAGCCTCAGACAGATTGCATAGCTTATATAAAAGCCAAACATCATATCAAGCTATTTTCACAGAAAGCTGAAAAAAACTATACTGAAATAGAGGAAATGACATTTTCAGATCTATGGGGGCTGGCTTGAACTCAGAGTATTCATGGTGAAAGGTATTATATAAGCTTCACAGATGGAAAATCCCAAAGGACAATGTTGTATTTTTTGAAGTCAAAGCAAGGTATGAAAATTCAAAAGAAGATCCAGCAGTATCAAAAATACATCAAAGTCCACAAAGAGAAGGATCTGAAGTTTATGAGGATTGACAATAGAAAGGAATATGTCAATGAAGAGATAAAGGAATACCTCTAGAACAATAGCATACAGTTGAAATTGACTGCAGCATACTCCCTATCTCAAAATGGAGTTGCTGAAAGAATAAATTGGACTCTTGTGGAGTATGCACATGCTATGCTAGAAGAACATCACTTACCAAAGTTTCTATGGCCCAAAGCAGTGGCATATGCTACATACCTGAAGAACCAATCATCAACCAGGGCCATTAAAAATGATCTAACCCTAGAAGAAGTGTTTCAGAGCATGAAACCAGATATTTCAGCACTTCAGGAATTTAGAGTAAAGTGCTGGGTATTGCAGCAAGATAACAAGAGGTCAAAACTGGATCCAAAGTCAAGAGAATTTATTTTCACAGGTCTTACAGATGAATCCAAAGCCTAAAGATATTATAATCCTCAAACCAAACAGATTCAGACCTTAAGAAATGTTATATTTCCTGAAAACAACATTACAGAGCCTATAGACACTGACTATATAGTCTCCCACCACTTGAGGGGGAGTCAGAGAGCAAAGTTGAGCAGACTCTGGATAGAAATGATGGCATTTCGGACAATTCTGTAGATGCCAGAAATGCCAAACCAAAAGGAGAAATAACCCCTGATGTGTCATCAATCAAATCAAAGTTCCCAATATAGCATGGGAAAATGATCAAGCTGTATGACAAATTGGCCTAGATCACATCAAAGACCCAACCAAGTTACCAGACACTTCATAATCCAAGTGCACAAGCTGTGAAAACATCAGAACAACAGTGTACCTCAGAAGAATCATCTTTGGAAGCTATAAATGTTGCAATAAACTATGCATGCATTGGGAAAACTGCAGACAACCTCAGTGATAAGCTATTAAGCCTTGAAAAAGCCAAGACAAGGCCAGACTAGCATCATTGAAAGAAAGCAATGGATGAAGAATACAATCTATTGACTTCTCTAGGCACATGGCAGCTGGAAGAATTACCCAAAGACAGATCATTTGTGGATTGCAAGTGGACTTACAGATTGAAAAGGGATGGTGATGAGAAAATCACCAGGTACAAGGCCAGACTTGTTGCAAAAGGATTTTCACAGGTACCTGGCATTGATTTCTTCAAGATATATGCACCCATTATCAGGCTGGACACATTCTGCCTACTCATGGCAATTGCTGCTCAAAGAAACCTAATCATTCATAAAATGGATGTTGTTGAAGCTTACTTAAATGATAAACTCAATGAATCCATTTATATGGCACAGCCACCTGAATATTCAGATGAGAGTGGAAAAGTGGCACACCTCAAATTAATATTGTACAGACTCAAGCAATCTGGCTGAGTTTGGAATGACAAATTAAATACTATATTTTTGGGACTTGGATACATCAGATTGATCAGTGATCAATATGTGTACATCAGACAAATGGGTTCTAATCCCATAATTGTAGCTGTATATGTTGACAACATGACATTGCTTGCCTCAGATGATAAAACCATGTCTAAAATGAAAGAGCTTAAGAAGAAGCTAAATGTCACAGACATGGAGGAGATTTAATATATATTAGACATGAAGATAGACAGGAATTGGGACAAGAGCACTATCACTCTATCTCAGAAGGCATATATTCTCAAAGTACTTGAGCGAATGGGCATGAATGACTGCAAACTGGTTAATGCCTATAGACCCAAATGTACAGCTAGAGAAATTTCCAACAGAAGATCTATGAGGCATTAACACAGCCACCAGGCAATGTTACCATACTGGTGTCGGATCACTAATGTATGCAGCCAATAGATCCTGGCCTGACATTGCACATGCTGTTACTGAATTAAGCAAGTACATGCAGAATCTGGCTGCTGAGCATGTCACAGCCTTAAAGCAAGTTTTTCACTATCTGAAGGGAACTCTAGACTTCAGAATCACATATGGAGGGACTATGGATGAGCTGATACCTTATTCAGACTCAGACTGGAGAGAAGACAGAACAGATAGAAGATCAACATCTGGTTATATCTGTACCTATGCAGGGAGAGCTGTTACTTGAAGTTCAAAGAAACAGCCCACTGTAGCCTTATCCACTATGGAAGCAGAATATATGGCCCTTGCACACACAACCCAGGAAGTAATTTGGCTACAAGCACTCTTAACTGAATTAGGATTGCCACCTTATGAAGTGACAACTATTTTCATTGACAATCAATCAGCAATCAAATTCACTGAGAACCCTATATTCTATGCATGATCAAAGCATATAGACATACAGCACCACTTTGTTCATGAGCACATAGCTTCAAATGAAGTCAAAGTTCAGCACTGCACATCAGAGAAGAACTTAGCAGATATATTCACTAAAGGTTTACTAAGACTATTACATGAGTATTTATCTGCAGGTATTCTAGGAACTTGGAATTGAGGGGGAGTGTTGAGATAGCAATTCTGAGTGAGTACAAGAACATACTCAAAGATATGATGCCAGTCAGTGGCAGCTGACTTGGATCATGATCCAGACTTATTTAGTATCTCATAGAAAGATCTCGAAGTAATACAAAATGTATTTAAGTAGAATGTCTCTCTCTTGAGAGGCTAATTCTAGTTCTCTGTACATTACTCTGCTCTCTACTTACAACACCTTTTGTGAGAGAAGTGACTTTCACCACCCTCTCACTGCACTAGGCATTTCTATTATTGATGCTTCTGCTACAAAGTCAAATGGTATTCACAGGGTCAGCTATTTCCATCCCAGCCTTGAGTCATTCAATTTTTGTCGAGTTTGGGGATCACAAGACTATTTGCTGCTGATTTATCATCACTTCACAAATTCTCTATCTGCAGGCGAAGACATGCCCAACAATTTCATTGTCTCATATAGCAGGTTGTAGCGTACTTCAGAGCTTATAGATTGGTTGGATAACATGAGAACAGTGCCTGTCTATTTTCAGTTGGGCAAAGGTCTTCACAGACCCCTCCCTTTGTATTCATGCCGCAATGGGCAATAAAGGTGTGTGTGAGTCGAGAATGACGTCATAACAACTGCTTCGCTCCTTTCGATTGTCCAACGTCTTTTCCTTCTCAACGCCTCTGATCAGGGCCGCGTGCCAATAGAATATCCAGCCACTTCAACTATGCTCGTCACTTGATCAGGAGTATAATGGTGAGGCAGTGATACTTTAATCTTTGATGTCCGTCTTCCGCTTGCAATGCTTGGATCGGGGAAGATAGAGGGACCAATGGCATGACTGTTATTTCTCGTTTCCCTCCAAAGCTAGATCACTAAATCAATGTTCACCGCCAGTGTCGTACCCAGTTCTTTCCGCGATTGCTCATACCTGATTCTGACACTGACGCCACGGTACCAAGAGGAACTGAGATGTCCATTAGACCGAGTTACGTGAACTGGTACTCCATGACCACATGTTCACTGTCAGGTGGACCTATCATCTGCTCTTTTTTTAAACCTATTGATAGAATAAACCTGGAGCAAGATGAGATAAGTTCTTAAGGAATCGGAAGTGAGGAGATATCGCCCACAGAAACCCTTTCATGATGAACTCGACCCTCCTCCTGGCATTTCTGTCGTTCTGTGCCTTACTGTTATATCGACTGTCTGTCTCATTTAATCGTCGGCGTCCACCTCTCCCTCCTGGGCCCAAGGGACTCCCGCTCATAGGGAACCTCTGGGATGTGCCCCGGGCCGAAGACTACCCATGGCACACCTATGCTCGATGGGCTACCACCTATGGCGACCTCTTATATCTGGACATACCCGGAAATCCGACAGTTATAATCAACTCTGTCAAAGCAGCAGTTGATCTCTTCGAAAAACGATCCGGGAATTATTCTGATAGGCCAGGTGAGTGTGCATGATACACCCCATCTCAGAGTTGGTAATAACCCCATACAGATTTCACCATGTTAAAGTTAACGGGATGGGGTTTTAACATGGGTTTTATAAGGTATTCTGATTGGTGGAGGTCAGTACAACCATGTATGTTGTTCCTGTTCTGGTTTCCATCCTTCTCTTTATAGAATGCATCGTCGA